GAAGCGAAATATCTCGATTTAAAAAATTATCCAAAAATTCAAAAAATGCGCCGTATGACGAATTTCACTGATTTTTTTAATATGAGCCGGAAAAAGGTTAAAGAATACAGTAGACCTCCTATAAAACGGGTTCATATAGTTCGGATTCCTATACGACGGCGAAAAAATTGCGACCGTATTCTTACAAACACGCTAAAAAAACTCGTATAATTCGGTAAAACGTCATCGCCGACTCGTGTCGCGACAGGATTGGTCGAATCTAGACCAATAGCGGATATTGCACAAACCGTTGAGTTTAAACGAGCAGCGGACCTACTACATACCATTTATTATTTAACGTCCATAAAAATTATATTTATATTAATGATGTCTCCAAAGTTCAGCGAATTTTTCGCAGAAAAATAATTTATTAGGAAACACGCGAGCGCCATTCGATACGCCGCTCCACGACGAAAACAAGCTTAAGCAATGGCGTAGTCGAACGGTGCACACTCGGTAAGTAATCCTACAATTTTTTGTTTATATCATAGTTTATATGGATTATTCCCAAAAATTATACGTATTTTGGAAATGTTGAGTCGAATTAGCCTAGAATCGATTAATTTTATGGAAGAAAACCTTTCAAACAGCCGTAGTCGGTAAACTGCACACGTGCTGTGATTGGCTCATGTATTTAAGGACTCTTAAAACATGAATTTCATAAAAAGCGAAACGTATCTACCGTGTTATAGGGGGGTCGACTGCATATAATAATGCAGTTAAGATGAATATATTAACTGCATTGACAACGTTAATTAATCTTTTTCTTTTGAATTACAATTACACAACAGTTACAAAGAGTAGGGACTGCGATTGAGAGAAAACGCAAAAATTTAATTGCATATAATTAAATGTATTTAATTATATGCAATTAAACGGTTAAAAACAATATTGTTAATCAAACAAAAATTACTCGGCTGCGCAGAATAAAACAGTCGTGTGATAAACAGATAAACAGCTTTTCTTACGTTCACAAACAAAACTATATTATCTGTTATTTTACCTTATTACGTTCTTCATATTCGAAACAGAAACTAACACACAGAAACATTCCAAAACAGTCGTGCGATAAACAGATAAACGGTTTTTTACGTTCGCAAACAAAACTATATTATCTGTTATTTTACCTTATTACGTTCTTCATATTCGAAACAGAAACTAACACACAGAAACATTCCAAAATCTTATTTATTTATCATTTTTTTCGACGTTTCAAGCTCTCCCCAGTCCAAAAATGTAAAAATGTCTCGGAAGTGACTTTTTTTAATTGTAAATTCAGTAAAAATAGCAAAATCATAGGCCAGTGAGTCATTTTACACAGAAAACACGTGTAATTAATACATTAGTTTCGCTGGTTGTATCTAAATACTGTGTAGTATTATTTACTGTAGCACGAGAATTACGAATTACACGAAATTACGGTTTTATATAATGAAAAAAATAATTAAATTCAGATATTTTAAAATATTTTACGCCTGCGAAAATAAAGAACAATTTTTTTTTATTACGTCACAAAACCGTTGTGTCGTCGATGTAACAGTTGAAAGGAATGCGTTAGATGGCAAAGTCACGTAATTAATTTTTTCTTCATATATTTTAAGGTAAGAAATGATTCTAAATAAGTGTAATTACCTGTTCGATTTTATCAAATTTTCACTCCAATTTTGTATAATTTCATTATGGCTGCAGCAATATTAGAAGCTCTCTGAGTTGTATTTTATTATTTATTTCAAATTTATTTGCAACTAAACGATCTGCTTAAGTGGATCCTAAACAAAGTCTACAAGTTTATGAGAAATCTCTTAAAAAAAAAAAAAAATGCTTCAGACACTCGCTGAAAGTGGTAAGTTCTCTTATTATTCACAATTGTTTGATACCTGGAACAAACAAAGTTACATTAACTGTGATGTACTGTAGTTTCCGTTCAAATAAATTTCAACATGTCACTACTTTATGGATCCTCTGACAAAGAAAATGGTGCACTCGATGAAATATTAGATAAAGACGAATTAGGTATAATTTATTCTACAATACAGATAATAAATACAGTAAAACCTGTGATCTTCAGTACTTTGTTTAGTAAAGCTCGGCAGCTGTGAGAAAACCTGTTAAGATCAGCCAATACTTTTGTTTCATTGATTAATATAGGATCAATACAGCTGCATGAGTGAAACATGATTATTATTATTATGAACATTGCATTTACGAACTGACGAAGCGATTTAAATTAAGAAAGATCTATTTCTAATCATTCTAATTTTCCTATTTATAATTTATGTAATGAACCACTTACCTAAATCATTATTACAGGCAGAATTTTACATGTAACTGCAGAAATACCTGTAATTTATCCATAACTGAATCTGGACATTGTTGCTGGACATAATCGACATTTACAGGTTTCACATACAAGTATAGTGAATTTTCCACTCAAACGTCAGATTTCAGATTCATAATATAAGACATCACTCCATATTTGACATTACGAAATAAAAGTGGGTCTAAAATTGTTATAAATGTAAACACAGTAGAGCCTCGATTATCCGACTCAATTGGGGACTGGGGTTGGTCGGATAACTGAAAAGGATGAAAAATCCATTATTAGTGTAGTATATTATTATATCCCATGTAATTAGTGCTGTATATTAGTATATTAGTATATCGCTATTAACCTACTTCGCGTTGAATTTTCATCGATGCTAAGCCTAACAAAAATTTTTTAAAAATAATAATCGTCGCTATTGTATCGTTAAAAATTAGAAAATTAAGCCTCGTTTAAATACTGGCTTCCTTTCATGGTCGAGCCAGTGTTGCCAGCTAAAACACGTAAAAATAATATTAAAGTAGCCAAGACATAGGCAAATATTGTAGCGCCACATCACTAGCGGACATTTGAAATTTTCCGACTAGGGCGATCGGTTAACCGAGGTGTCGTTTAATCGGGGGTCGGATAATCGAGGCTCTACTGTAAAACATTTACCTGCAATTGTTGAAGTAGGTACGCGAGTGTTTTTGTTGTTGCTTTCGTACTTATACAGTATAATGTCGGATTCGGAAAGTTCAACTCAAATGACACCATCGTGAAAGTAGAATGTCAAATTTAGTACAAGCTTTGACGACAACTGATGAAAAAATAAAGATTTTATTATATCTGTATTAAAAGGTACAGTACCTTTACAGAAACACACATATATATAATCAACTGGAGAGAAAAAAGAAACTTAAATGCAAGAAAAAAGTTATTAATTTACCATTTACTTTGAGATATTTAAGAACAAGATGATATTTATTTTAACTTGTAAAGTAAATCAGGTTTCTTTAGAATATCTATTTTCTCATATTCGAAGTAGAGGTGGTTATACAATCACAGTAGTCTACTTGAAGTGATATGCAGAATAAGAATGATATATTTAGGTAAATCACCTAGAATATTATAAAATAAATTAAACACGGAAGATTAGATTTCTGGAAATTATTTAATAAATAAAACGTTCGAACAGGCAGATTTATTGCAAGAAGTTTCAGATATGTCTAATTCTAAAGAATAAAGAATATCTCAACATTCATGCAAAGTAAATAGTGATGATTTATGTGAGATATACCAGGAAAATGTAGAACTAAACAATGATGAATTACAATATTTAGTTTAAAGAATGAAATCAATTTTTACAAAAACCGAAACCACGTTTCAAATGTAAAACCGTTTCATCTATGACATGATTAATTAAACAAACAACTGGTTTGCCAGAAAACGTTATATACACGTATGTAAAGCAACGTATATTAATTAAATTACATACGATCGTTCCTCTGCAAAAAGTAAACTGTAATAACAATAGAAAATTTAAAACAGTTTGAACCTAATTTAATTGTTTTTACGTAACACTTAATTTGCATATATTGATATATAAAATATAGGGGAAGCCTGGGCAACTTCGGCATACGGGGCAAGTTTGTCAAGCGCTTTTTTTTAAAAACAAATTAAAAGGAAACTTTGGTTATAGGTTAGGCAGTTGAGTTTTATTGGTGGCTTGTTGAGTGTAGTGTTTTTATTGTTCTCCAATAAGCGTAGTTGAATTATCAAGCAAATTTTCATTTTCGTTCAATTCCATATAATATTTTGCTTCCATTTATATTGAATTGGCAGGTTTTGTTATAATTCCATGATAACGAAAGTTACTTTTCCTGTTAGAAGGATGTAACTTCAACTTATTCACGTGGCCAGATCGTGGCTTGGCATTCTGTTCTCAGGGTTGTACTTAATGTTTCGAAATCATGACTAGCGGGGTAAGATCGGCAACATAAAGCCACATTAGAAGCAAAGGATAAAAATCAAACAGATGATAAATGAAAACATGTTTGCATTTGTTATTCATGTATATATGTCTTTGAACTTGCATTTCGTTGTAATAATATTAAATGGGTGTTGGATTTGTATTTCTTTGTTTTAATAGTGAATTCCAACTTATACATTGTTAATAACATAATTTTATATACGTGCCTATCTTGCCCCATTACTGTTGCCCCTATACCAGGGGCAACTTTAATAAAAATAATTAAAATAATTACAACTTTACAAAAAGAGAGAAGTTGCCGATCTTGCCCCTATACCCGGGGCAACTTCGTCAATTTCTCTCTTCTTGTAAAGTTGTAATTATTTTAATTATTTTTATTTCCAAACTGATTTTAACCAGTTCTATAGTAAGGTAACATTCCAATAGACAATATGCAAAGCTTTTTTTTCAGTTTACAGCAGTATTTATTACACAAAATTTAAGTAAAGCTTAACATGCCGATCTTGCCCCGGTCTCCTCTATATTTATAACATTAAAAAACTGTTCTTTTAGCAAAGTTATTTTTGTATATGTATGAGTAAATAATATCGTTTTGTTTTCGATTTCGAATACGACTGACGTCAAATAAGCAACCAATAAGAAATGTATCTTCTCTTTATATTCTAGGACCTTCGGTTTATCCGAATACTGTGCTTAAGTGAATCCTAAACAAAGTCCATAAGTTTCTGCAAAATAATTTTTCAGACACTCCCTGAAAGTGGTAAGTTTGTCTATCTTATTCTTCAACAACTGTTTGAAATCTTAAACAATTAAAGTTACATTAACTGTGATGTACTGTAGTTTCAGTTCATATAAATTTCACCATGTTACAAGTTTATGGGTATCGTAACACATCCAGTAGAACCCTTTATCCTTTGGATAAAGTTGAATTAGGTATGATTTATTCTACAATATAGATAATAAATACAGTAAAACCTGTGATATCAAATTCCTCGTTAATAAAAGGTTGGCAGATGTTGAAAAACCTGTTAAAATCTGCCAATTATTTTGGCTCATTGTTTAATATAGGATTAATACAACTGCATAAGCTAATTTAGCAAATAACTAAATCTATCTTTTATAAATAATTCATATTTCGATTTAGTGCAGAGTTCATCGTTCTCGGTAGTCATTTTGAACTTTGCATTTATGAACTGATGAAGCGATTTACATTAATAAAAATGTATTTCAAATAACGTAAATTTTCATGTTGATAATTTATGTAATGAATCACTTATCTAAATCATTATTACAGTTTCTGAATTAAAATTATGAATTAAATTCCTCATTTTACTGCTCTGTAGGCTACATTGAGCCTGAATTTTACATATAACTCCAGAATTCTTTATAACCACTCTATACCTTAAAGAGGATAATTCCTTTAAGTTCGAAATTTACAGGTTTTACTGTATATATTTTGTTAATTTTGCTACAATTTATAGTACAATATAAAATAATTTACAAGTATTAAACAAGTATTTTTTTATCTGATAATTGAAAAATTTTTCAGAAAGATTTAAAATAGTTAAAGAGCGACTGAAGAAATTTTACCAAACAGAAAATAGTTATATGAGGTCTTTATTATGGGAGAATACGAGAAGAGACTTTCCTCTAAACGATTATTACGTTAATTTAAAACTGCAAGAAACTGATAATTTCGGTAGTCCAATTGGTGAAATTCTTGATGTCAAGGATATATTTAGAGAAGTCGATGATGGACATACGAGAATTCTTGTATGTGGAGATCCTGGTTCTGGCAAAACTACATTGTGCAAGAAGATTGCGTACGATTGGGCCGTCGATAATCCCTCAAACAATTACTTAAGTCATTTTGACTTTGTTGCACTCTTAAGATTAAGCGAAGAGTACAAGAGTATTGAGGATGCAATTCTAGCAGTATTTTGGGAAATGTCACAACCTGGTGTAAATAAGACAATAAAATATGAAAATTTAAATATATTAATTATTTTAGATGGATACAATGAAGATTACTACCGTTTAGATAGAACCAAATATTTCTTAAATAGTTCCTTTGATATTTTTCGTAAATTGACCATTATTGTGACGAGTCGTCCTGGACGTGCAGAAGCAATAAGAGAATCCATGAATTATCGATTTCATCTCAAAGGATTTTCACTTTTACAGCAAGAAGAATACGCGAAGTTGGTGTTCAAACAAGATGTTGATAAAACACAAACATTTCTTAAAATATTAGAAAATGAATTTTATTTCTCTTTGTCTAAACGTCCGTTATTCTCGCATATGCTTTGTTGTTTACACAAGAGTAATCGATTAGAAAATGTACAAAGAAAGACAGATTTGTATATTTATATAATGCAATTGATTACAAACAGATCAAAAAGAAAACTCGAGAAAAATTTCGAAGTGCTCATAGGAAAGCATTTTCCATTGGAAGAAAATTTAGTTCGATTAGGAAAGTTAATTTATGAAAAAAATACCAATAGAAAAGTGCGATTCTATCCCTTCGATAAGAAACAAAAATTTACATTCGACGAATTAAATGAATGTGTCGATGCTCGTAAGAACATCATCAATTATGGTTTGGATTTTCTTGTCGACTGCTTTGACATTGACGATAATCCTTACGTTGATTGCGTGCACGAGACCATCAAAGAATTTTTCGTCGCCCTGTATTTGTATAAGAACCCTGAAGTACCTTTCCTGAATGTCACTAGCGATTCTACTGTACCATGTGTTACAGAGTTTACAACTGATCACAACTTTATTATATTTTACTTCGGTTTATTTGGAGACGAAAAAATTCCAAAAACTTGCTTCAATAATTTGGAAAAAGTTGTGTTTTCGTTGGATCTTTCGATAATGATATACAACGAAATCGACAATGAAGAAGACAAGAAAGTATTTTCGAACACAGTTAAAAAGTACGAATATTCTAACAATTCACGTATTAACAATTCTGATTGGATGATTCCTTCACACTTTTCACAAATATACTTTATTGTTGACATTTGCGAGCCTACAAACTGTTACGAAGATAGTTTTCAAAGTCTGAATAAACTTCACGATAGAGTTTCTCATTCCTGTCAGTTGGAAATATTTATATTTTTGAAAATAGGGGAAGAGTTTCTTCGACCGAAAGATACCAGAACAATGGAAAATAACTGGAAGAAGATGGAGAACATTCGAGATACATTTATAAAAAACACGTGGAACAAATTTAAAATCTATTTCCGTGGAATTGTTGAGGTTCCTTTTGTGATTGATCAGATTGAACAGAGAAGTCGACTAAATACATTTCCAGCACATTTGCTTAAAGCTTTCAATTGTGTCACTGCAGAAATATTTGTTGATGATGTAAATGAATTAACTTACGAGTTGGTTAAATTGAAATTTTCTACAGAAGATGACACCGAAGAGAATTGTTTACTTTTAAAGAAGGATCTGTTTGAAAGTATGCGACATTATATCAAGTTATTTCCTGATTTCTAACTGTACGCATTGCGTAATAATAAGACTAAATCATCCTTGCAATGCATTTGTAGTGTAGTAAGCAGTACACTATTGAATGAGAAATGCAAGCTGCACCAGAAAATTGATTTTTTTGTCGTTCGAAAATTATAAACTGCTATTCATTTTAAAAGTATAATTGATGTAAACATCTATTGTGCAAGAGCATAAAAGTCAGCAATCTTTCACCAAATTACATTTAATTAGGGATGTAGATATCTTTTACTTTTATTATTATTCGGTGTTAGTTACTTGGTAAGCGATGGCGGGTATTAAGTAGAATATAAATCGAATTAGAGCCAGTTTTTCCAGAAAATGGTCGTTTTATGTAACAGGATAACAATTGCTTTGTGTTAAAAACTACAATTTATGTATTTTTGCACTTATTAATAAAGTTATATTAATTCATTGTGAATGGAATTTCTGAAAAATGTTGCATCAGCTTAAACGTTTTTATGCAACAAAAATAAGATCTTCTGTTTCTTTATGATCAGACATGACTGTCGACAGCTTACATGGAGGCCCGGGGATAATGCGTGCCCCTTGTGTCGTTTATTTTTAACAAATAAAATACGTAAAATGCTGTTATCGGGTCTTCCGATTGTTACTATGGTAAAATAACGACGCGAAATGTAAATAACGTCACACCTGCCATCTAATTAAGTCAACAATAGTGATTAATCGCCCACACAAAGATTCTGTCCAGGTGACAAGCGATGTCAACTTGGATAATCACCGGGCGAAGATTTCCGTTTGTCCGATTTGATGGGCTGTTCGGTCATTCCAAGCTGCCACTTTAACCATTGCAGTTTCATGCCTAGTTTTCCCGTTTTACTCTTTAGTAACATTTACAATTTTCATAAATTGTAAATGCTCATAAAATTACTTTTTTCATCATTTTATAAAAATTATTAATAAAAAAAATTTTAAATAAAAATATAACAACAGATGCTCACTTTTCACTCATTCAATTTTTAACGATTTTGCCGGGAAAGTTAAGCAACGCGCTTCTGGATTTTAAAATAAATTCGTTGTAAAATAATATAATATTTAGTTTTTAAATTATTTTAAACGATATTACAAGCGAAAACACTGTTTACAACGAATATTTTTTTTTTATCATTTCGTAAAATAATTTCCTCCGGTAGAGAGCGCTATTCGTAGTAATGGTGGCGTGTGGGATGTTGTGGTAGGAAGCGAGAAGAAGGTAAAATGGTCGTTATTGGTCGACAGGGATGCAATTTTAAGGATATTCAAACCAGGACGAATACAAGAATCAATTTCGAAAATTCGGGTAATTACAAATTTAGGTATAATTGTTGTTTAAGAATATAATTAAGTGTATATTGATTGATCGTGTAGTGACAGAGCTTCACGCTTGTAAGCAAACACGTGACTATTAGGTATCACGTGGAGTTATCACGTCAGACTTTCTAAAAATTCAAATTCTGAATTATTAGAGGCTAAAATATAGGACGTAATGACGCGATTTTCGCTCCCCCAAAATGTAGATCCCCTGTGCGAGCATAAAAGTCAAAAGGACCACGCCCGTACGGGCGACCCTTCGCGAGATGCGTTTACGTCATAACCGGTCACGTGACTCCGCGCCCAAAAGGGACGGCATCACGTGGCCAAAATTTTTTCGCTTTTTTTACATTGAAGTGTCAAAAAAAGCTTGTGCTTTCTTTTCTTAGCCCCCAGCGCGTGCCTCCCCCTGTCCATGCCGCTGCCACCCTTTCCCCCTTCGCATGGGGCCGGCAGGCCGAGTCTCCCCAACACCACCTAGGAATAAAGGTTCCAAACACTTTTAGAAACTTCGTGTGACGTCACTATTAGTGGTCCTTTCTAACGAGCATTTCCAAGCTTATTGTGTCGAACACGCTGTTTTTCAGTCTTTATTCTTCAAATTGGATTCATTATTTACTTTAGTATATTTATACTTTCTAGTAAGGTTTTTTCAGAATAAACAATATGCCTCAAAAGTGTTGTGTACTAGCTTGCAAAGGGAACTATGCAACAGGACCAAAAGTTAGTGCTTTTAGTTTCCCTTCAGATGAAGTTTTATGCAGAAATGGATATCTGCAATTCGTCGAGACAACTTTGTACCTACAAAACAATCTGTGGTGAGTAATTTACTTCTGTTTTTACCTTTTAAGATGGAATAAACCTCATAAGCAGGCTGTTTTTAAGTGGTAAACAGTACTTTAGAATAGCTTACTTTGTTTTAGCTTTGTTGTTTTTTTTTTTTGTTTTGTTTTAGCTCATAATGGTTAGTTTGTTTGTTTAATGAGAGAGAGATTCTTTTTAAATTGTTTTGTTCATAAAAATTCATGTCAATCTCTATCTATATAAATGCTTTTGTTTTAGATATATCCAATTTCTAAAACATTTATATGGAATGGCTATTCCAGCAGGGATGATCCAAATTAGAAATTAGCAAGTATAAACCAAAGCATGTTCTGCTTAGTCTATACTGTACAGAATATGCGGAATATGAATATGAATACTTTAATTAATATATTATTATTTGTATTTATAAACATGGAAGTTCAGAAAGTACATACAATTAGGAAATAGAAATGTATGGATTAGCATTAGTGACTTTAAACGTTAACAGGATTTAACACAATGCTTTCTTTCAGGTATGTGAATTACATTTTCACCCAGATGACATTGAATGAACCACAAGTATGTATGACCCAAAAAGTGGAAAACTTCTTACTGCGCCATTAGATCGGCCAAGAATTAAGAAAGGTAAGAAATATTTTAAAATTAAATTTTACTGCAAGTGATTGTCAGAGTGATTTTTTTTATAAATCAAGTATCATTTGTCACCTGATTTATTTAAACTGTTACTTGTTTATTTTTAATAGGTGCTGTGCCTTTATTATGACCAGGATGTCCTTCATATTTTGCTAGTTGATGAGATACATTTAAAATCACAATTAGACTATAAAGGTGGAAATATAGTGGGCAAATCTCATGACTCTGCTAACTGTGCCAGTAGTGCATTTGTTTTCATGAATCAAAGTTTGGATTTACAGTACAAAGATGTATGCCACATTCTTTCAGTTAAATGCATTCAGGCTAATGTTATTTTTGCATTAATAAGAGATATTATTGTAAAACTAGAATCACTTGGATTTGAAGTTTCAGGTTGTTGCAGATAATAATGCAATTAATAAAAAAGCAATTTCTTTATTTAGCAACCCTCCAGATTTTAAGATTAAATATGATCATTCAGTTCAAAACCCAAATGAAAGATCATTATATTATTTTTGTGATACAGGGCACCTGTAAAAGTGTATCAGAAATAATTGGTTCAATAAAACAGATGAAGCTCTGAACTTTCCAGATTTCAGTGAAAAGTTGAAGGGAGGCATTGCATCTGTTAAAGCTTTAAAGATGCTTCATATGTTAGAAAATGACCAATTATTAAAATATGGTAGTGCTTTGTCACTAAAGTGCCTCTGTCCTACTTCTATTGAAAGACAGAATGTGAAGTTGGCTATTCAAATATTTAATAATAATACAGCTGTAGCTTTGAGACATATGGGACCAAAGAACAGTATTGAAGAATGGGAATCAACTGCCATATTTATTGAAATAATATATCAGTGGTGGTGTGTGGTAAATGTGAAGACATTTCTTAAAGGTCAGAGGCTAAGAAATCCATTACAAGAACCAGTAACTGCAAATTCAAAACATATACTTGAATTTCTTAATTGTTTTCTCTTGTGGCTTAACAACTGGAATCTTTTAAATGATAACAAAAAGTTAACCAGAAAAAAACATATACTGCATTAAGGCACACTACAGCTGCTCTTATTAATTTTTGTGATTATTGGATTAATGTAAAAAAAATAAACTACCTTCTTCTTGGTAAAATTCAAACAGATAATCTAGAGCAGTGTTCCGCAATCGTTGTGCCAAGGCACACTGATATGCCGTCACATGGTGAAAGGTGTGACATGAACTTTTACAAATATTCTGTTAATTTCAAATTTTATTTATATATTTTTATCACAGTTGTTGTATTTCTTATGCTTGTATTTCATTCTCTGCCGCAGCACTGATGAAATAAGATGATGTTTGATTATTCTTTATTACAAGCCACGCATTTTTATGTTTTCTAAGAAATTATATGTAAAAAAATTTGCTCACAGGTGTTGATGTCTGTATAATAACAATAATAATAGGTTAGTGGCATTACGTAATTCTATTAATAGTATCATATACGTTTTTGAGGGCAATAACATTTTGGTATGCCGTGTTGAGTCATGGGTGTGCCACAAGTAGGAAAAGGTTGCGGAACACTGGTCTAGAGGACAGGTTTGGCAAATACTATCAAATGTGTGCTGGAAACTATCACATATCCCTCAGACAGTTATTTGAAACTGAAAGTAAGTTGAGGGCATGAAGTATATTTTCATTAATATTGAAATCTTAGAAAAATGGTAATATAACTAAAGATGATATCTTTGTTGAATGCACAAATGTAGAGGATATTGAAAGTATTATTATTCCTGATTCTATAAATATTGTTGTGGAAAAATATGATTTTGAAGAGATAGGAGAGTGTACATGGCCTGTTCTTCATTACATTGCTTGCTACTGCTCACATGAAATCATTAAATCTGTAAACTGTGATTATTGTAAAGTCTTTATAACCTCTGATGATAGTAGAACAGAAGACATTAGCTTAATACTTTCTATGGATAGAGGAGGTTTAACATATCCAAGTGAAGATGTTGTTTTGTGTACTACTTATGTTTATGTTACAACCCAGAAAATGATATCAGAGAAGGAAAAGTTATTTTTAGAGCAGGGCAGTCAAAGAGGCATACTAATGAAAGCAGCTTTAAATAATCTGTCATCTGATTTATTTGCTGGCCATAGATGTTTAAATGGACATAGTACAGACTTGATAATTAAAAAAATTTTACTGTGTTCTTCAAATATTTTGGTAAAAAATTATGCAAACAAGATCAATGATATTTTGAAGCAAAAGGACGTTACCACCTACAAGCATCATAAACAAAACTGAGGTATTTTATTTACAAGCAAAGTGATTCTGTATAATGAGTTTTAAAGATATTCTTATTTTAGCTCTGTTAAGTTTATTTTAATAGCAGTCTCATCCTTTTTTTGTTTGTGTTTATGTATCTAGGTATGTATAAATAAATGTGTGTGTACTTCTTATGTAATGGTGAATAAAAACTAATTTTAAAAATAAAATTTCAGTTTTTTTTAATACTTGTTTTTGATTATTGTTTAACTAATTTTATGTTCTGAACATTCTGAAAGTATTTATACTGCTTTGTATAATAATGAATTTAAAAAGTGTATATTTAATTTTTTTACTTAGAATTTCCTAGAAGTTATTTGATTACTACTTTAAACCAACTGAATTTACTGTACTCTTCCGTTAATAAAATATTGAAATATCTATGTGTTATCTTTCATTTTATTTCACTTTTACATATCAATGTTTAGTGCAACTATGCCAACTGCATTTTTATTTTCTGGAAATTGTTTTAAAAATGAATGAAGGAGCGATATCATTTATGAAGTATCCACAACAGCATCAGCCGCATGCTGCTACATCATCAGTGTCGTTTGGAGGCTTTATTCCTAGGTGGCATTGGTCTCCCGCCTGCAGTTGTCCAGAGTCGCCACCTGTTGCCTGTAAATACAAATATCTATTATTATTACACCTCTTACCTGAGTCGGGGATCGAACCCTGGTCCCAGCCAGCATCAGTCCACTTCTTTCTGCACCGACCCGCCAGGTCGCTTTGCCAGAACCACTTCAGAACTCGTACTTCAGTCATATGAGCCCGAGGAGGGCACTGCGCATGACAGGCCAGGTGGCCCCCTTGGCCGTGAAGTAGGAGCATGCCTCATCACGTGGCCAATGGCCGGTCGGCCGCAGGTCACTGCGTCACTGCCCCTGATGTTTTATAAGCCTGCAGGCTGCCTTCGAGCCTTTGTACCCAGTCGTAGCCTAAGAAAGAAAACCATGCTGTTTACTTGTGATGTTTCAGTGTCTCCTGTTGTCAATCCCGCTGACATATTTTAAAACATGACTGCATATGAATTTCTTTGCTACCTCACCACTGAAGAGGCCGCCCTGAAATTTTGCCATCTCGTGGGACTAGTGCCACATCCGGACCTAACCGGTTTCATATTGCCATGCCCTAAGTGCGGAGGTAAGCATTGCTTGATTCCTGCATGTACAGGAACAGTGAATATTCACGGCACAGCATTTCGCTACTTTTCTAAGTGATTCCAATGAGTTGTCTTAATTTTCAGGCAGTATGCGCAAGGAACCGGCTCCATCTGACAGGTTTGGATTCATCTACCACTGAAAAACTGAAAGAAAAAAAATAGACGACGGACAGTCGGCACTGTCCGGAGGGCTGTGTGCACCGGTAGCCTGTCTTGTACCCACAATACATTCTTCGAAAGAGCAAAGCTTTCAGCTGAAAAAGTATATTACAGTCTATTGTGAAAATTTCTCACAGAATTGGCAGTTTCCCAGTCCAGTATTTTTCAGGTAGCATTCTCTCAGATAGCCACTCTATACCAATGTTATCAGTCCACTTATTCAATAGAAAATGCTACTTTGTAATTCATTGCTATTTATTTACAGTGATATTTATCTAAAACATGCGAAAGAAAAGTTCGAATTTCCTAAAAATAATAGTACAGTTACTGGTGCCCTGCTAACCGGAAAGCACAGTCTTTCTAGTATCACGCTACGTTCCGCATTTCTGTGATTAGTGTACAAGATGTGTTTTCTCTGTATTTTACATGTGCTGAGATTGCTATATTCGTGGGTCAAGCCAGTTACCATTACCACAGAGCAATGCAGCATGGCCCTCGTAACAGTGGTAGATTGATACAACTTCTGCTGGGAAGTTGCGGAAGTTTTTGTCTCCCAAAATCAGGAAATCAAGCTAGGCAGTGAAGGGTTGCACGTCGAGGTGACGATCACCCCACGTTTCTGACTTTGCCGAAAAGTCTGTCTGTATTCATGTGTTTTTGTTTTCAGATTGATGAGACCTTCACCTGGAGGCGAAAATACAATCGCGGCTGCATACGTGTAGGCACCCAAATAACATAATTTGGTGCCTACTGTCGGGAAATGAGAGAGCTGATGTACTAACATGTATGTGGTAGTGAAACATTATTTCCTTTTATTTTTTTGTTATTGAGGAAGGTTCCCTGTCTGGCAGACATTGGTGCATTTTAGACGAATTGTGTTATATTTTCTTAATTAAATTAAATTATCCACAACCGTGAGGCAGATAATAGTGAGGGCTTATCAGACCAAATGATAGGCACAAACACTAAGAGATCAAAGTGAAAACAATTTAATAAACTCAAAAAGTTAATACATAAGTGTGAAAATGAAAACCCAAAATGCATTTCGGACTATTTCCTAAGAAAAAACAGTTCCTCATCAGTTGGTGTTAGTTAAAGGTAATGCCATAATAGAATTATACAAGGTAACAGTCAACTTAAAACTAAGCCTAAAGTTATACAATATATAAGCGAGGACACAACTGTAATGGTATGAGTAGTAAGCATCATCAGTAGTTATTATCTAAAGTAGGTGGTATATTAAAAATTATACAAAGTAAGGTAAACTTAAAAACTATGCCTAAAACTATACAATATAAAGGTGAAGATGCCAATGTAACAGTATGAGCAGTAGGCAATATCAGTGCAGACAGATGTAATGTACAGTACATTACCTGCCTGTATAACTTTAGTCCATTAGTGTTAACTAATTATTTCTAACTTATAACTATTTTGTATCAGCACCCTGTATGTTATCCCACCATGCAAGGTCATGAAGATTTATTACACCTGTTTGCAGTGCCGTAACTAGCCATTCCTGTGCTCTGTGCAAGAATTTGCATTTAGGCCCCTTAAATAATTAGGTTTGGGAAAATAATAAAATAAATAAAATGCATTTTGGGCCACCTTCCAAGTGGGCCCTGTGTGGGTACACCTGTTGCACCTGCCTAGATACGGCACTGCCTGTCTGCACTGATATTGCCTACTGCTCATACTGTTACATTGGCATCTTCACCTTTATGTTGTATAGTTTTAGGCATAGTTTTTAAGTTTACCTTACTTTGTATAATTTTTAATATACCACCTACTTTAGATAATACCTACTGATGATGCTTACTACTCATACCATTACAGTTGTGTCCTCGCTTATATATTGTATAACTTTAGGCTTAGTTTTAAGTTGACCGTTACCTTGTATAATTCTATTATGGCATTACCTTTAACTAACACCAACTGATGAGGAACTGTTTTTTCTTAGGAAATAGTCCGAAATGCATTTTGGGTTTTCATTTTCACACTTATGTATTAACTTTTTGAGTTTATTAAATTGTTTTCACTTTGATCTCTGAGCGTTTGTGCCTATCATTTGGTCTGATAAGCCCTCACTATTAACTGCCTCACGGTTGTGGATAATTTAATTTAATTGATATTATTATATCAAGGGCTAGAAGCAACTTTTGTAATAATTTAGTTATATTTTCTTATATTCTTTCAGGTGAAGAACAAAAGCAGACAAGTTCTGTGGAACCACATGCTCAGATACATCACTCTAGGATCAATCATAGTTTCCGACAGCACAGCCCAGTATCGCGGTTGTACAGCTTTGGGCTTCTATGAACATAAGATCGTCAATCACAGCCAGTGGGGCCCCGGGAGGTGAGAAGGATGAAACTGTGCCATGTGTTAATTGAAAGAAATGGACTGGCATTGTGGAGAAACGACATTTTTATTTTTTCTTTTATTTGCAGATTCGTCGTCATGGATGATCCTGAAGCGCACACTCAAAACATTGAGTGTATACATCACTGGCTAAAGAAGTCCATCAAGTTGCTCCGCACAGACAGGAGCCTACAAAGTTACACCTGCACCTATGTGTACAGGATGTGGTTCTTGTCTCAGTTGCCAACAACATCAGCAAAATTCCAACAGTTCATTGAGGACATTGTGGCCATCTACACAGGCCCTTTAGTCTGCCAATGTGGCTCAGGACTTAACTCACTTGAGATTGTGTTAGAAAAGAATCGGGGAGATTTTCTCAAAAATTTCCCAGAAGAAAAAGGTTTGAGTCGACACTGTACATTCAGACCCCTAATTCAAATTTGCTTGGGGTCCGATTAATCTATAATGCACCACTGACATTTACTACACATCTAATTGTCTGGTTTTATCAACACTCCTTTTCTTTGAGCTTGTCTTGTACTCACTCAATGCACTTGTCATACATTCAGGCAAGTTGCCACTTATAACCTGCATTTAGCTCCTAAGCTTGTATTTGATTTAACCATAATATAAATTTAAGGAATCTGCCAAAATGTGAAAGAGAAGAAAGTCATCTGTTTTAATTTTACTAATATGCAGAAAACTAGTAATTGTGAGTAACGGTAACAATAAATAAGTGGGGCACAAGTAATTTTAAATCAGAGGCTGATGTACAGTGTTGACTACAGAAATTTTTTCGGGAAAGCTTTTGGAGAAATATTTATTTATGAAAGATTGCTTTAAAGTCGCCTATTGATGGAGCCCCAGGCAATTATCTTTCTTGTCCACGGGATGACTAATAATAATAATGCAAATTATAAGTACAAGCAGATAATTGAGTGAGGAGTTCTACTTTCAACTTTGGTGTCAAATTTAAAATTACCGCAAAAAAACTTTTTTAAAATATTTTCTATATGTTTGATCTAGTTAATTTTATAAATTCTGCTGTATGGAAAAATGTGAGAAATGTGCTTTAATAACTTTTTAAGGCTCCTACATCATCCAAAATATGTTTTCATGCTTGATTTGTGGAATATCTCAAGAAAAGAACACGATTTAACATAAAAATCAGGCCTCTAGCCATAAACGTCCGAATAAGAAGCGAAATATGGGTCGTTTCACAACTTGAATAACTGTCAACTATTTATTTATTTATTTCATTTTTCAAAAAGAAACTGTGGCCAGGTTGGCCTTTTACAAGCATCTTAAATTAAAATCAAGAAAACGAACAAAAAAAGAATAATTACCAATTATTCTTTTTTTAAGATACATTGTGCTTGTTCCTGCTTAATTAATTAGGATATTCTTCAATTCATATACAATTTTTATGACTTTTTGTATAATGGAATTTTGGCTCTTCATTATGACGATGTTATCTGCATTGGTAATTTCGTTGCATATTATATTTTCAAAATCTGGCAGATGTTTAACTTTCACAAAGTAATTGTTAAAAAATTCTGTAATTTTCTCATCTCCTAACAGACCCATGTAAAATATTGTAATATAGTAATTAGGCGAATAGCTAGTTATTTGCAAGAAAATATCGAAACGTGATTCTTCGGTGTTTTTATGTAAATAAAGAGCGATGAGAAATGTCTCAAAATCCACATGAATAAAGTGAAAATATATATTTTTATCTTGGTTACAGAATGAAATAAAAAATTTCAACCCGAGAATAAATTCAAGTTCTTTCTCATCTGGAAAACATTCTTTTAAATCATCGAAGGTAATTCTTTCTTTCCTTTTATAGTGATTTACTCTGCCCATAAACTAGTTTTCCCAATCGAACTAAAAGATCTTCACCATAAAAATACTTTCCCTTCTTCAAATGGTTACATCCACTATTAGCTCTCATATATTTCTCGATAAGAAATTGAAATATTAGAATGAACACTTCTGTTCTACTTTTGGTACATTCTAGTCCTACCAACTTATGCAAACAACACAGCAAATGTAACATTAATGGGCATTTTGATAAATGAAAAAGGAAATCATCTCTTTCTAAGATATACTGAAGACTGCGTGCTTTATCTTCAGATTGTTTGAAAACTAAGCTTACATATTTACGTTGCTGTTGACCTCGAAATCCAGTGAGATTAAGTTTTATATCAAATGCCATCTTTATTTTTTCTGCAGATTCGGGATGACTGGTTACAAGAATAGTCATATTTCGTGAAATCTCGAAAGAATCGTCTTTTATAAATTGAATTACTGAATTTCTATCAGGGAATTCGTCGTAACCGTCTAAAATGATCAAGAAGTTTACATCGGCATTCCATATTTTTTCCTTCATTCCCACTTCGTGATTTCCACAAACAATTTCCAGAATTGCATGGACAATGCTTTTTCCCTGAAGATCTCTCAATGTCATGACGACAACAGAGTCAAAATGTTGTAATGCAGGATTATCAATGGCCCATTCATATGCAATCTTCTTGCACAACGTGGATTTACCATAACCCGGATCTCCATATACAAGAATATTTGTATGTTCATCAGTAATTTCCATCAACAACTCTTCGATGTTAATCTCCCCTTCGATTGGATTTCCAGAATGATCTGTTATCTGCAGCAGCAAATCTACATAATAATCGGTTAACGGAACAGTCTTTTCGCTGTACCAAAGTGAAGAATCCATGTAAGCACTGAATGTTCGATACTTGTTCCTAAGTTTTCCATTACATTTCTCTAATAATTCTAAAAAAATACAAGTATGTAATAATATAGCTTTTAATACACTGGCGTGCGAAACTTAAGCAACAATTATTTTTAGCCTTAACCCCTGCAAAAATTGCCTGTAAGACATGAAATTCAGAATTCAGAGACAGCGTTTTAAGTACTTTATACTTAAAGAATGAAGAAGGCATACTAGCTCAGAAATGAATACAATGCATACAGTGTGGAATCAAAGCCTCCTTTTTATAATCTTGCACTAAGTGCGCTTACTGCATATGTTCTGTGTGTCCTCACGTCATCTGTGATTTCTTTTTGAATACGAATCATTCTACTGAGTTGAGTGTTTATTGTTACTGATCGCAACAAGCCCTTTTCTACAATTTCGTGGCTGCCTGCTTAAAAATTATATTGTTGCTTAAGATTTGTACATCAGTATAGTTTCGAGTTGTAGAAGTACGTTGAACTAATTAAAAAAAAATATACCGTGTATGTTTATTTTGCAAAATTGACAGGGTGACGTCTGTTCTACATTCGCTGCTTTGTTAGCTGCAAGACATTAAAATCATTTCTTCTTGTTTATCACCTTATTTATATTTATAAACTTACCATTTTCCGTAAAAATCTTCTTTTGGTTTATGGAAATGCAGTACTTATCTCCAATTTGCATTTCCTTTGTATGTTTGGCAGCGATTTGTGGAAGATCGCCTACGGTAATTTTCGATGTTCCTGCGTGTTGCATTTCATTCTAAAATAACACAGACGAATATAATTACATTTTTAAATCGTTAACTTAAATCTTCCATCTTCAATTTTATATCACTAAATAAATTTTTAGTGTGCACATTATTTCATATAATTTTTATACATCATAATGTTTAAAAGTAAATTTATGTTTAATATCTATTTCACAAAGTTAAAACATTATGAATTTAGGAAAATATAAATTAAGAAGTTATAAATTATTTCAAGTAATAGAGGGAATGAAAGTTTACCTGTCGATCGTTCATGTTTTTTTTTGGTCAAACGTGCGATTTATTGTTATAGTATTTGAGTGTAGAAATCCTTCTGTTGTTTTGAACTTCTTTAACAGGTTCGCACGAGCTTCTGATGTTGAGAAGTCAGCTCAATTTAAAGAATAGATGATTCAGGTTAGTTCTTGCCAACTGATCTCTACAAAATGATATTTATACTTACATAAAACATTACTTTGTTAACATTATACTGGCTGAAATATGTTAGAAGTGCATAAACGTACCGTATTTATAAAAATTAAATTAAAAATAGTGCAACACTTATTAATTTTAGGATTTTTTCTTAATTTTCGTGAATGACCGTAAAGAATAAATATGGAGCGACTCTTTAAGAGAAAAATTTAGAGATGATGAGTTACTTAGGCACAGTTTAAAGCAGGGGTGTCCAACCTTTTTGTTCTTCTGGGCCACATTAAAAGAAATCATGGAGTTTTGGGCTACAATTATACATAATATATTTGTGACCCAATCCTTAAATATACAAGTATATTTAAGGATTAACATGTCTAGATTGTAGTAATAAGTATTAAAACTTTATCACGAACAAGGATATTTAAAAAAATTACTTCTACAGACCCTTTCAATTTTTACTTAGAAATAAATAAATTCATTTATTATAAAGGAAACAAACAAAAATTTATTTGAAAAACACAAATATTCATTTTATTTAGGTCTCTAATTAATAAAAAATGACGAAACACCATTTTAAAGTGCATTTTTATTCGACTAATATATTTATAAATAATATGTAGCCCAGAAAGTAGCCAATGCGCGAAATGATAATTTTTACGCCAAACTGAAAAAAGGTAGTCAAATCTTTAAATGCTGGAAAGAATATTAAATAATGCTGGAGTTGGAACTCAAAGGATTATAGACCCAAATCTGAGAAAAGGAGAGAAAGGCCAAAAGATAAAAAGTAGTGAGAAAGGTTAAATAGACCTTCTGTTATGCAAATATTGACCCTTAATTTTCCAACCTTCCTCACTACTTTCTATCTTTTGGTCTTTCTCTCCTTTTCTCAAATTTGGGTCTATAATCATTTGAGTCAGAACTTCAGCTTTATTTAGTATTCCTTCCTCATTCACATATCTCCAAGTATTTGAAAATATTTTCTTTTCACTCAAAAATAAAATATGTATAAAAGTTTTCAGCTTTGTGAAATTTCTTTTTTGAGTTTATGCCGTTGAAATAAGTAAATAAAAAAAAAAAACAATTTGTCGTTTTGTTTACACGTTTATTGGGCCGCATTGGAACTTGCCTTGGGCCGCATGCGGCCCGCGGGCCGTGGGTTGGACATCCCTGGTTTAAAGAAAACAGCCTTCAGCAATATTGACAGGAACATCTGCCATATTACTAATGGCTCAATTAAAAAATTTTATGATAAAATAATAATGGAACATCAATATCAGAATGATAGAAAGCCAAACTTCGGATGAGAGCCGTCAAACCTATAGAAATTTATATTATAAAATCTTATCTTCTGGACACTGACATCAATAAATTAAACAAACTTCTCTGTGCCAGTTGTCCGTACTAGCTAGATCTAGACATCAACACACGAGCAGGTGTGCGTATATATCGTTAATGATGTCATAGTTCACATCCCCTCAAAAATAGTATAAAGAGGGCTTGGACGCAGTCCACAAGGCGGACACCTCCAGGGAGGACATCGACTGCCACATCCACTGACCAATACCGCCATAACTGCCGTGACGATCCAGGAACGTTTTTACCAACGACCCATATTACGAATCGGGAACTTAGAGGTATTTTTTTTTTTGAATATCTATTTGTATACTCTCTCTCTGCGAAATTTCTCTCTGAGAAATCTCGCTTCTAGAGATCTCTCTCTCGTCTCTTAACTTAGAGAATAGAGATTAGATGTTTCATAAGAAGGACAAATCATTGTCGCGACGTAGAATAAAATTTTTGTAGATCTTCACCTTAGCCTTTGATATGTACAATTTTATAGTTGTTTATTAAATGTGTTATTCTTATTCAACCTGTGTATATATTTGGAAACCTGCCAACTTACTCATTAACCTTTCCCACTCATTTTATTTTGCCCTCCTATAAAGCCATCCTCTGATAGAGCCGCCGGTAAGTGGGGACAACTAACCCCCTCGGTTCTCACACTAATATAGAATTATATTTTAGTTATAATTGTAATTAGTGATTGCATTTCCGTTATTTCGGTTAAAAAAAACCCTTTAATTAAATCGATAATTATTTTCCTAAAATTTCCACGGGAAATACTCGTGGGAAGCAGATTTCTTTTTTGTTTCCCCCATACTATAGTAAATAAACAGTGCAGGTGGTGACGGGCCATTCCATTTGTAATTTAAGGTTATTAGAAGGAATTTTTTAGTCTTTTTATAACTTGATTGCTTGTATTATACTCCAAAAACGGGTCATAATTTTAGAGTATAATATAGGAAAATAACCCAGAAAATTGAACAAATATATGTTACACGAAATATCCAATAATGTTAACAAAAATATATTTTTGAATGGAATTGTAAAAATAAGCAAGCACTAATCAGAAAATGAAAACAAATCATGCCCTGCGGATGTCACTAAAATTAGTTCAAACTCAGATTCTGGTGAGAGCTGTTCATTGCTTACTACACTATCAACTTCTCATGTCACAATAGAAAAGTCAAATTTAACAATGAAAAAGAAACTGGACTCATTCATTTAACATAAAACGAACGTAGATACTGATAACAGTAATATAAATAAGTTTAAAAGTGATAGATATATTTATTAGAACAAAAAAAATACAAGGAACGTATTTTTAATTAAGCTTGTTTTCGTGGTGGAGCGGCGCATTGAACGGGGGTGAGTGTTTCCTGATAAATTATTTTTCTGCGAAAAATTCGCTGAACTTTGCAGACATCGTTACTATGAATATAATTTTTATGGCCGTTAAATAATAAATTGTTTTTAGTAGGTTTGCTGCTGGTTTAAACTCAACGGTTTGTGCAATATCCGCTATTGTTCTAGATTCGACCAATCCTGTCGAGACACGAGTCGGCGATGACGTTTTACCGTATTTTACGAGTTTCTTTTAGCGTATTTATACGAGTACTGTCTCGATTTTTTTGCACCTATATACGAATCCGCATTATACGAACCCGTTTTATAGTGGGTCTACTGTAATTCAGTTTCGTTTTAAATCATTTGTCAATACAAATTTACCGGTAAATCACTGATTAACTGGTAATCCCGAATAGAATTAGCTAATTACCGGTAACATAATACCCGGTAAATGTGCAATTACTTATTGTAATTATGTTTCAAGAATAATTATTAAATGGCCTTACTTATATTTTCACGTACTCGAAAAACGAAACGAACTGAACCGTAAGAACTTCTGCAGCATAACGAAATTATACAAACATGTAATATAAAGTATATTTAAAATATGAATTCGAACTCGAAATTACCCTATTTAGTTTTATTTCTTACCTTAAAATAAATCAAGAGGGAATGAATAACCAGACTACGCCATTCGACATATTTGTTTCAACTGTTGCGTGGACGACGTGGTTCGGTTTTGTGACGTAATCAGAAAAAATAATTCTTTATATTTGTAGGAATAATATATTATAACACATTTCAATTTGATTATTTTTTCTTCATATCAGCTGTAATTTCGTGTAATTCGTAATTTTTGTGCTACACTTAGCAATGCTTCACAGTACTTGCGTACAACCACCGAAACTAATGTATTAATTACACGTGTTTGCTTTGTAAAATGACTCACTTGCCTATGATCTTTCTACTTTTATTGAATTTCCGATGACGAAATATTGCTGAAATATTTTCAATGGAATGGTGCATATTAAATTCTATTTAATTTACTTCCCTGGCGTTTGTATATAATAGAGGGATCGGTCGAAAAACATCACCCCAAAGATTTCTACATTTTGGGGGACTGGGGAGACTTTGACATATCCAGAAATGAAAAATAAATAAATAAATATAACTTGGAAGTGTTTCTGTGTGTATCAATGTTAGTGTGTGTGGTGAACATGATTTTGTTTGTTCACCTTAAAGCTTAATTGATTACTTATTGATATGCCTTATCTAGTTGCTGGGAGGTTTGTGTATCGAAGCTATCGGACTTTAATGATTATATGTCCAGCAGATCACGTGTCGTCTGGAGTGGCTCCGACCTTGATGGAGATTTTACTGGTTATTAGGATTTACAGTTTTTTTAAAATACAAAACTCATCCCTATCTTGAGAATTAAGTTTTTGCCATTTAATAATACTTAATTAATAATGTAAGAGTTTTCATGAAATATCATAACAGATGGTTCCACGCACAATTTCTAATTATTTTGGCAAAAAAGTTAGGCACATCTTTGCTGGATTGTTTATTACACACGTTAATATGCTTTAATTACATTAAATATTTATTAATACGCGTGAGTGACAATTACTGTACAGGGAATACAGTTGAGAGAAAACGCAAAAATGAATAATTAAATGTATTTAGTTATATGCAATTAAACAGTTAAATGTAATATTGTTACTTCACTTAATCAAGCAGAAATAACTCGGCTGCACAAAGTACAACAGTCGTGTGATAAGCAGATAAACAGATTTTTTTACGTTTACAAACAAAAATGTATTATCTGTTATTTTATCTTATGACGTTCTTCATATTCGAAACAGAAACTAACATACAGAAACACCCCCAAGTTTTATTTATTTATCTATTTTTCATACATTAGTTTTTGTGGTTGTCCCCAAGTACCGTCGGGTATTGTTAACTGTAGCACAAAAATTACGAATTACACGAAATTACAGTTTATATGTAAAGAAAAAGTAATTAAATTAGAATATTTTAAAATACATTACACCTGCGAAAATAAAGACTTATTTTTCCTGATTACTTCACAAAACAGTTGTGTCGTTCACGTAACAGTTGAAACGGATAGGTCGGATGCCGTAGTCAGGTAATTCATTTCCTCTTGATTTATTTTCAGGTAAGAAATAAGACTAAATAGGTGTAATTACGTGTTCGAGATTATATTTTTTATCAACTTTACACGCCATTTCTTTGTAATTTCTTCACGGTTGCAGCAGTGGCGTAGCATAAGTGTCAGCTGCCCAGGGTGGAGAAAAACCCACTATGCTACGCCACTGGGTTGCAGCAATATTAGAAATTTGCTTCTTACGATTCAGTTCGTTTCATTTTTTCAGTTCTGTACGTGAAAATATAAATTAAGCCATTTAATAAGTATTTTTGAAACATAATTACAATTAAAACTTAAATATAATTGATTGTTTTAAGTTAGATTATGTTGTTTTTTCGGTAGCCATGTTTATCTTTCCGTGTAAACGTTGACTGCTCGGTTACTGATAATGCTACGGTTAATAGTGTTGTTATTAAAAAGTGGTCTTATCAAAATAACTTATATAAATTATAGAAAACACGTGGAACTGGTCTGGTGATTATACTTCCTGAAGAGAGATACGTATATCTAAATATATAAAATTACTTGTCCTGACTGACTCACTGATTCATCATCGAACAGAGCAAACCGCTGAACCTAAAGAGATGAAATTCGGTACACAGGGTATGCCATGAGAATACACACTACGAAGGGATTTTTCGAAATTCCCCCGCGAAAGTGAGAGGGAGAGGATTAAAGCTTAACCAGAAGAAGGCTTCTACTGTATTACTTTTAGATGCGATTTTTTTGTTTTTACGTTTGTCTTCATTGTGTACTTGTATTAAATTGATAACATTTCAGACGTTGTTATAAATATTTTCATATGTTTTGATTTTTTAACCAAATGTTCGAACTGTTTTAAATTCGAATTTGCTATTGCACATTGGTTCGATTATAAAACGATTGTAAACGTTCCAGAAAATTGATCAAATGCAGAACAGTTCGTTTGATTCTCATCATTCTCAGCGGTAGGTGTTATATAACAACTAGCTGCAAGGACCCGCTTCCCTGGATTTTTATTTGTGGGCAAAAAGTAACGATAGTGAAGATTAAGATAATTACATTATAGCCAATCTTACCCGTTTTCACAGAATGCAAGAATTAGGTTCCCCGTTTCCAGAATAATTAGAGACCTGGTCCCGATTCCATTTTTGAACGTCTCCTGTTCAAGTCCAGTCAAACGAACTCTTTTCAACGTTTTCTGGAACGTTTAAAATCGCTCTATAATCGAACCAATATTCGAATTTTATGTTGAATTTAAATTCAAATATTGTTCGAATTTAATTTCGAATTAATTTCGAACAAATATTGTTCGAATTAAATTCGAACAATATTCGAACAAAACATTCGAAATAAAAAACCACTTTCAACCACTTTCAGCCCCATATCTCCCGCACCCTTATAGCTATCGAGACGCAACCACCACTATGCACGAATGGAGACTTGGGGCTACCACCACATACAAACACCATTCACGTG